CGACCCCCAACCCATTCTTTTCCTAATTTGCACTCTGAGCTGGAGACATGGGTTGTGATGTTTCTTAATTCTTTTATAATCATAAAAAGGCAAAACCAAGTTGCTAATTTAGGTGCAATGATGCTCAACATTTCTGAGAATTAGCCAATTTTGTGTTTCTTCACTATTTCTGAAATAGCATATTGCAATTATTGATGAAAGCAACTTTTAATGCTGCAATATTGTATTTCCAAACAATGAGAGTCCCTGGATCTGCCACCCCCAAATCCAGGTGGTGATTCTAGGGCCAAGCCCTGGACACAACTCTTGTGCCTTGGCAAGACCCAGGCCAGAGGGAACCCACAACCTCTGACAACCTCTCAGGCTTGAGCTGGGCCTGTTTCTCTGTGGTTGAGAGCCTGCCGCAAGCCCACCCTGGCCGTGCTGCCTCCCTGGGAATTTCCCGCCTGCTCCTGGAAATGCTTTTTGTACCAAGTCTAAAGAGAGTCACGCCAACTTTTTTCTTTTTTTTAAAGATTTATTTATTTATGCATACAAGAGCTGGGGTACAGGCCAGAGGTGTGTGTGGGGGGGGTGAGAGGATTCACCAGAGACAGAGTGGGGAGCAGATCAGGCAGACTGACAAAATACACTGCTGAGGGGAGCAGCCGGCAAGACAGGAGAGGTCTGCTGCGCCATGTGGGTTGCTCCCTGGCCAGGTGGGGGATTGAACTCATGCTGCACAGGCTGCGGATTGCTTCGTAGTGCAGTGCTTAACCCCTTGCGCCACCAGGGAGGCCCCAACTTTTCAGGACAAACAGAGCAGAACGACAACTGGCCAGCATGACCTGTGGCCTGTGGCCCTGGGTCGTCCCCTCTTGAGTACCTCACTCCTTCACTAAGCAGCTCTGGGAGCCAAGCTCACGTTGGCACAGGCAGGGAGACCTGTGCCGAGACCCCCGTGTGCCTCACTGCACACATGGCCCGAGACACGTGTCCTTTGCTTTCACCCACTGACCGTGGCCTGCGCGACTCCCAGCGCCCTGTGCGCGAGCCCTGGTGCATCACCCAGTGCATGCCAGATGCATTCTTAGAAGCAGAATTCTGGTTTTTAAATTTTAAAACACCTTCTGAATATAGGGTTAGCTCGTTATTGAGGACAAACTATGATATTTTTCAAAGTAAGGTTCCCATCTCCCAATTCATACTGCCACAAAACAAAACAGGGGCAGGAAGCCTGCTCATGGGCAAGCAGGGACAGAGGGACTCCCGTGAGACTGCTGGCTCTGTTTTCTGGGAGCTTTACTGTGGTTTCAGTACACGGCCAGGAGAGAGCCCACAGGCACCCCTGGTCAGACTGGGCAGCCTCGGCTATCTCTGTCCCAGGCTGCTGCTGACCTGGGCTGGGGCTGTGGGTCCTCCCTAGAACTGGAGACTGGCTGCTGTGCCAAGACGGAGGGGGATCCACCCTCCCTAATCCCCTGCCCTCAGCCTTCCTCCCTCCTACCCCCCACCCCACCCTCCCGCCTTTGTTTGGTCTTCAAGGAGCTGGTGGGGGTGGGCATCTATTGAGCCACAGGGCGGGGCAAAATCCGTGAGGTCACCAAGCCCTCGATAAAGAGAGGCGCAGATGGCAGACTCTCCATTCACGGGAGTCGCCTCAGGACCCCAGACATGAGGTTCCTCTTCCCTGCGCTGTTGTCCCTCAGCGCCCTTGGTGAGTATAGGAACCCGGGGCGCGTCCTGGTCCCTGCGCCCCTCACGGCGGGCGGTCGCCCGGGTTCCGGCACCCACCTGGTTGGCACCCAGCGCCTGCTGCTAGGGACGCGGCGGGAGCCAGGGGCTTGGTCCCGCCCACCGGTCCTGGGAGGAGCGAAGCTCCCCGGAGCCGCCCCGGAGAGCTTTGCGCAGCTCAGAGCTCCTGGAGCCGCCTGCCCTGACCGTCCCATTTCGGCCCGCGAAGGCCACTGTACCCTTACACGCGTTTTACGAGAGAAAAATTAGAATCAGAGAGGGTGAGCAACTTGCCGGAGACACACAGGGGACCCGGTTGCCTTCTCAGCTCCTGCAAAGGGCAGTGTAGTTAGGGCAAGACAGAACCTTTTTGAGTTTCTGCGCTTAAAAATTAGTCCAAACCTCTTTCCAGAGCTGTTAGGAGGAAGCGGGTGCGATCTGCTCAGCAGTGGGCACAGGTGTACATTCCCTCCCACTGCAGAGGGGCAGGAGCAGGGGCACCCACCCTCCTGATGGCCACCTGTGCCAGAGGGTGTGAGAGAGAAAGAAGGACCTGATTTCTCATTTGAAATGTGCCCAAAAAGGCACTAAATAGGGGGGAATAAACACCTGTTAGTTCCCTGCCCAAGTAGCCTCAGAGGGTTAGTGATGGACACTAGTGATGTAAATGTGTGTGGTGGCTTCCTGTGGGGGAGTAGAGGGCCCCAGGAAGCAGCAGGAGGGCTGTGAAGGGCCTCAGCAGCTAGGCAGCATGTGGGAGAGGGGTGAGGGCGGAGGGGGTCACAATAAAGGCCAGATGTCACAGCCAGGGCTGCCCTGTTTTAGGGCATCTGTTCCAGCTGGGAGTGTCAAGCCTGGCAGGCCTGGTTAAGGGCAGCAGTGAGCTTGTGCTGGCTCCTTTCTCCACATTCCATCCCCTGGGTGCTGATCATCACCCTCTTCTCTAAAGTGGATTTGGGCTGGCTACGGCCAACTGCTCCCTTCCCCTCTGCCCCCCACCATGGGCCTGTGGATCCACAGTATAGGGTTGTGGTCATACCCCCCCGTAGGGGATAGGAAGCCTTGCTTTCCTGGAGGAGGCTGTGGGCCCTGGGCTGGGGTTCTGGCTCAAATCTGCACTGCATTCATTTTCACTTGGATTTTTGGTGGTCTTGGCCATAAATGTGCAGGGGTGACTTGCAGGGTCTAGGAAGCTGGGGAGAGTAACTCCTTCCCTGGACCCTGTTTTGAGGCCAAGGCATTGGGAGTCTGCAGAGAAGGAGTCTGAGGACATGCACTTTCAGGAAGATTCTATCCAGGTTCAGGTGGACAGCAGCTGAGTTGCAGACACAGTTCAGGGGCTGGGTTGGGGATATAGAGGGTGCAGGCACAGACCTGTTCAGGGAGCACTTGGTCTTGAGTGGACACAGATTTTCAGTGCTAGATGGTAAAGGCTGTGGAAGGGGAGGCACTGACTGGTGTAGCCCTCACCTGTCTCCTGTTGTCTTGTGCTGGGGTGGGGCCTGTGGATCTTTGAAAAATCCATCAGTGGTCCCTTGGTCTCCTGGTTCAATCCCTCCCAGGGGAGGAAAGGAACCCTGGCCCCCATCCCTATTCTTGCCTGGGTTTGAGGCATGGTCTTTTGTCTTGTGGTCTCCTTCAACCCCAGGCCCCCTCCATTATCAAGCTACACCAGCTCCCTACTCCTGCTGTCTTCTCCACTGTGGTGCTTCTCTGCCAGGGTCTCAGGCACCAGTGCACCCTGGCCTCCGCCCTGGGCAGAGCTCTGAACTCTCCCCTGTGGGCCACAGCTCCACAGCCCACGGTGTGACACCTTGACAGGCACAGGGCATTGTATTTGGTGGTTGTTTTCCCATTATTGAATTGTCAGAGTTCATTGTGTTTTCTCCCAGTTTATTACTTGTATTTTTATGCTTTTTTTCTGTCTTTTGAAACACATACATTTTGAATTTTTATAGGTCCAACTTATTATTATTTATTATTTTATTAATTTCTAAAATTTATGGACTGCATTTTTGGTGTGGTTGTTAATTAATTTTTGCCTAACCCAAAGATCACAAAGTTTTACTCCTGTGTTTTCTCCTAAAAGTTTAATTGTTTTATATTTTACACTAAATTCCATGATGCTAATTTCAGCATATGGTGTGACGTGGTGCTCTAATTTCATCTTTTTTGCATGTGCATATCTAATTGTGCTGGCTCCATTTGCTAACGGACTATCTTTTCTGTCAGTGGATTACCTTAGTATCTTTTTCAGAAATCACTTTCTTTCTGGGGTAGTGCCAGTTGACACGACAATCTAGAAAGACCTGGATTCTAGGCAGGACTTTGTCACTGCTAAACAATCCTTCACACCGGCTCCTTAAGACCCAATTTTCACATCAAGAAACCAGGAGAAAAATTGCTTTCCTCCAAGGTTTAAGTGGATGGAGAAAGTAGATGGAGAACTCCATCAGCTAATACTGTTATAGGACAGGGAGAGGGGCAGCCCAAACCCCGCAAACCTGCCTATTCTAAATGGGTTCTGCCATCCGCCGCATCAACACAAAACATAGGAGACTTTAATGGGAAGGAACTTTAATTAAACTAGGAAACAATACAGGTAAGGCAAAGAGTCTAGTTTCTAGATCAAGCACCCAAAGTTACCCATCCCCTCGTGGGTAAAAGTCCATCCAAATGGGATTGGCCCAGAGCAAGGCCCCAAGGCCTGCCACAAGTCCAAAGCATCCTCCAGTGGGGACCCACAGAAAAGGGTCACAAACAACTGGACAAGCCCGGAAGGAAAAGAGCAAAATCAACATCAAGATAAAAGCTGCCATTGTCACCACCCCACGGGTCTCACCCACATCTGTGTCACCCAGTCCACGACCAAAAGACAAGCGCAGTTTCTTCACGTGTCTCTACGCTCCATGTGCGTCCTCCAGGTCTCCTGGCTCCATCCTGCTTCCTTCCTCAGTCTCTTCTGCAGCTTCTCCTCTTCCTGCTCAGCTCCACCCTCCCTTGGGTGGGGCAGGGAACCTCCCCCTTTCCTGGGGACCACCCTGTTACAATACGAGCGGTCATCATCATTTTTTAGGGTAAGAAATGTGTCAGTGTAGGAAGGGAAGGAATCCAAAGACTGATTGTCTTCTAGTTTATTGAGAATCCCAGCCTTGTGGCCAACACTAAGTGCTCATTAGGCCAACAGACGCATCATTGCGGAGAGTGGCCTGACTTAGCCACAGAATGGAGAGGAGCAAACATGGACAGTAGTTAGTAGTTGAGCCCTTACTCTTGGTCTCTTTCTCCCAGGACTGTGTATGGCTGCTCCTAAGAAAAATGTTCGGTGGTGCACCATTTCATACCCAGAGGCAGCAAAATGTGCTAAATTCCAGAGAAATATGAAAAAAGTAGGTCGCCCCTCCGTCACCTGTATAAAGAGAACCTCCCACCTTGAATGTATCCAGGCCATTGCGGTAAGTCAGTGCCACATGTTGGGTGGGACAAAATGGAATGCAAGGGAAAGGGATGGAGTGACGCAGACAATGTGACCTTCCCTACTCCCTCTGCTTGTCTCCCTGGGCACCTGTAAGTTGGGGACAGCTCTCTCTGATAGGACGTAGTACTGTTTTGAAAGCAGAAATTAACACTCTAAGGGGAAACTGGGATCTCACAAAAAATTGTTAATAACAACTGTGCAAAAATTGATGAATAGGTAGCATTAGTTAAAGTCAAGGTTACTCTGACCTTCAGAAGATCATTATCTCCAGACCCTAGGAGAAATAAGCTCAGCTGGTCATTGTCATCACCTCACATTGGTAGGGCAGGGCCTGCCAGGACAGTGGGCACTGAAAAAAAAATTTGGGGGGAGGAGGGGGAGAGAGAGAAAGACAGATATCATGACCTGTGGATGACTTCAGATTTCTTTTGTTTTTTAAGATATATGGTATCCTGAAATAGTTTTTTCTCATTCACCCAACAAATATGTTCTGTACACCTGCCCAGTGCCATAGTTGTGTGTACTTGACATAGCATAGGCTGGTTAACTTGTTTAGGAGTTTCTCATAATGTCAAGGGTCATCATAACATTACTTAGAGGAAAATGTCCAGTTTCATCAATGTTTTAGGCCATTATTTTGGACAGATAGCACCAGCATTTCCTGCTGACTTAAAATGCAAATTCCTAGGTCCTATTTAATCCATTCAACTGGAATAAGTGCAAATGAGGTCACAAAATTTGCCTTCTTAACAAGAACCCCTACTTCAAGTTACTACATACCATGTCTCTAAGTAAAGTCGAGATAGATTAAATGGTTAGCATAAAAAAGTGTTATTGAAAAACAATAGGGGACTAGTTGATTTGCAGAACTGTGGTGGGAAATCTCTTAGCTTTTAAACAATGGGCCAATTCCTGAGGTAAACTGACAATATTTATGATATAAAAATTTAATTCATAGTCATTAAAAACATTTAAACAGAAAATCTAGAAAGCACCAGAGTGAGTATGTGCCTGTTCTGACAATGATTACGACACCCACTCTACGAAGAACTACTTCAAATTGGTAAGAATTGTGAGATCATATCAGAAAAATGACAAGAACAGAGTATATAGCCAGAGGGAATTTATAATTAATAAAAATTATTGTGAAATGTTCTTAATAATAAGAGAAATACAAGCCTAAATAGTTTGTCAGCATTTGCATTTTCTTTCTTTTTTCTTTTTCAAAGATTTATTTTATTTATATAAGAACTGGGGTACAGGCCAGATGTGTGAGAGGGTGAGAGGATTCACCAGAGACAGAGCGGGGAACAGAACAGGCAGACTGACGAAATACACTGCTGAGGGGAGCAGCGGGAGAGACAGGAGAGGTCTGCCTTGCCTTGTGGGTTGCTCCAAGGCCGGTGGGGATCGAACCGGCATTGCAGAGGCTATGGACATCTTCACAGCGCTGTGCTCAACCGCCTGCACCACCAGGGAGGCCCCAGCACTTGCATTTTCTTAAGTTATAATAAAATGAAAGGCTGTCCTGCTGGTGATTCTACAGTGAACCTGATCCTTATGGCTGTTGGCATTCTACTATCTATCTATCTATCTATCTATCTATCTATCTATCTATCTATCTATCCATCCATCTATCTATTTATCTATCTGTCTTGGCTATTGACATTCTAAATTGACATTAGGAATCTTCTGGAAAGCAGAGTGACAACACAGCCAGGGGCAGGATGATAAACATGCTTATTGTCTGGCTTATTCTCTGGGACATGACCCCTTTCTAGGTGAGGTTCCCATGGAAATAGATGGACTTGGATCCAGCCTCTTGTCCCCAGGCAACAGGTCATCAGAAGGAAAAAAGCTATGAGGACAAAGCCATCTATGAGAGTAATTTTAATAGCAAAAAAGTGCTGAACATTTGAGGAATTATTTAATGACTATGGAGCAATTACATTATAATAAAATATTATGCAGTCAGTAAATTCAGTAAAGGCTCTACAGAAGTAAGAACATGCAGGCTATTGTCAATGAATAAAGCAGTCCACAAAGTGTGGTCTGTGCCACACCGCAGATCAGAGCACGGGAGATGTTACATGCCCCAAAGGATGAACATGGTTCATTCTTAATAGATATCATTGCTATTCAATAAAAAGAAGCTAAAAGAAATAAATACAGGGGAAAAAGAATTCAGAATAAATAACTTTTAATATAAATGACTGTGAAGGGCACATGGGTGGGCTGACAATGCCAGGAGGCACGTGACAAAGAGGCAGTGTGCCAACCCAGGAGTGAAAGCAGTTGGGCAGTGCCTGTCGCCCAAAAAGAGGGACCTCAGCCGGGACCGCTTCATGGACAGAAGTGGACGCGATGGGTCTTCCAGCCATGGAGCCTTCCCATGTCCTGAAATCTCACTTGCTAGGTTTTAGCAGGTTTTCTCCTGAAGCCCGTGTGGCCTCTTTGCTTTCAGGCAAACAAGGCAGATGCCGTGGCCCTTGATGGTAATTTGGTGTTTGAGGCTGGCCTGGCCCCCTACAACCTGCACCCTGTTGTGGCTGAGTTCTGCCAAACCAGAGCAAGTAAGTTCTCCCTGGGGACTGGAAGCTGGCGTGGCCTTGGCCCTGGGTCTCTGTGTAGTTAGTGTGGGTGAGTCTGGTCATTGGGACCTTGGACAGCATCACACTTTGAGGGAACCGAGTCACTGGGACCTCTGGGCAGGTGCTGACCCACTGGGGGAGGACATGTGTGTGCCCACATGTGTGGGCAAATAGCATGTTCTGGGCTGTTCACCACGAAAGCCAGTGTTGGGGTCCCCTTCCCACCAGGCGAGGGTGGGCGGTTTTCCTCCCTCTGGTCCAGGTTAATGGCTTTCAATTCCCTCTCCCTCTTTGCAGAGCCCCAAATCTACAGTTATGCCTTGGCCGTAGTGAAGAAGGACAGCAGCTTCCAGCTCAACCAGCTGCGAGGCGTGAAGTCCTGCCTCGCGGGCACTGGCAGCACCACTGGCTGGAATATCCCTATGGGGGTACTTCGTCCATTCCTGGACTGGGCAGGACCACCTGAGCCGCTTCAGGGAGGTAAGATCATGGTGGGTGGATTGTGGGTGACCTCAGGCAGGGGTCTCTTCTCTAGTTGCATACACAAGCCACTTGGAGACCACATAGGCAGCCGGGGCAAACCCAAGGTGGGGTGAAGCTGAGCACTGGCAGGTCTACTGCATCAGCAGCCTTGGAAGGGGGCTGCTGAGTCTGGTCCCACCATCTCTCTGAGTGCCCAACCTCACCAAGAGGGGTGGAGGACAGGGTCTGCTCACGGGAAGCCATGGCAGAGGTGAACTGGCTGTGCTGGGGGCTGGCTCATGCTCAGTCCACTTCTCTCTGTTCAACAGCTGCGGCTAAGTTCTTCTCCGCTAGTTGTGTCCCCTGTGCGGATGGAAACCACTACCCCAGCCTGTGTCGCCTGTGTGCAGGGACAGCGGCGGATAAATGTGCCTGCTCTTCCAGGGAACCCTACTTTGGCGATTTGGGTGCCTTCAAGTGAGTGAGACTGTCTTTCCTCTTCTCCCCAGTGGCTCAAGAGCCACATGTCCTCAGACCAGCAGGTCTTTTCTTGGGTCCCAAATACAGCTCAGCCTGCTATTAGGGTTGGCAGAGGAGGCTAGTTCTGTGCTGCGCAGATGGAGAAACTGAGTCCAAAGAGGTTGCTGACTTGTCCAGGCGTGTCCTCTCCAGCTCCCTCGGCCTCTGCTGTGCCCCTCACCCCTGTGCAAGCCTGATAACCAGTCACTCAGCTGTGGCTCCCCCAGCTCCCCAGAGGATCTCTTATCTGCTTTGCCTTTGTGCCCCCCTGGGTTTCTCTGCTGTCATCTGCCCCCTGGGCACAGGCGTGTTTGCAGGAGGCCTCCTCAGTGTTCCCCAAGCGGCCTTCAAAGAAGGAACCACACAGCCAAGGATATGAACTTTTATACTCTGTTTCAACATTTTTACATAGAAAAAAAAAAAACCCCAACATTTCGTCCTATCATCCTGGAGTGGAGTGACAGGGTTCTGGCCAGCACCTGTGCTCTCCCTCAGGAACTCCAGGAGGGCGCCCCGTCACCTTCCCAGTTGGGGGAACCCTCAGAGTCCATACCCCTGGGGACGGAGCAGATGACCACAGGAGACGCATGCCAGGCCTTGTTCCACAGGAGGCACAGGAGGCACCATGCTGAGCTTCTGGGGCTTTCTCTTTTCATAGGTGTCTGAAAGACGGGGCTGGAGAAGTGGCTTTTGTCAATGAGAGGATACTGTTTGGTAAGAACAGGGAGAAGAGCCATGGGTTCTGCCTCCTTTTGTTTTATTTTACCATAATTCTGTATACTGAGCTAATATGATTTGTCAGTTCTTGACACACTATAGCAAGGTTCCCTATAGAACAGCTTTTATGTTATGCTTTTTCACGTGTATGGTCTCGCACAATGTAAGTGATGTGTGTGTTTTTAAGCTCACGGGCGTTTTACTGAGCTCTAGCAGCCGTGCTGCTGTCAAGGTTTCTCACTTGGCATTTGTTTTACAGATTTATCCATGTTGTACACACGCTAGTCGAGTGGTTCCAGCAGTTGAGGGTGCTCCGTGGAAGGTGTCCATGAGATTTTATACGCCTGTCACCCCAGGGATGGTCTAGGTCGTGCTGTCCTTTCCTCTCCATGACTTCAGACACCTGCATGGCTCATGCGCGGGTGTGCCCTCCTGCTGTCCTGCTGGAGAATGTCCCTGAACGACCACACACCGAAGCACACTTGCAGGATATTTGAACATCTTGCACCCAGGGCCAAGGGGGACAGACCCACCACATACACCCATTTTGAGGCGGGTTTGCCTTGGAAACAGACAGGTGCAGACCCAACCTCCTTGATTGCCCAGGCAGCAACGGCGACACAGCCAGGGCAGTCCATGCTATCCAGTCAGCAGGACACTGGGCTGACCCCAGGCTTTCTGGGATTTGTCTTCACCTTTCTGCATGTTCTGGAGCAGTTCACTGCCTTTCTGAGCCCCAGTTTTGTTGGCTGTGCCAGATGTCTCTTCTTGCTCCCGTGCTGTGGGGAAAGGGGAATATAGCTTAGGATGAGTGCTTGCAGTAGCTCATCTGGGCACCCCCCCATCGCCTTAACCCCCAGAGAGCCCGCCAGACAGCGTTGACTGGGACCAGTACGAGCTGCTCTGCCCGGACAGCACCCGGAAGCCAGTGCACGCGTACAAGGACTGCCACCTGGCCCGGGTCCCGGAGCACACGGTTGTGGCCCGAAGTAGCAACGGCAGGGACGACCTGATCTGGGAGCTTCTCCAGAACGCACAGGTATCCCCATTCTTCCCCAGCTGCTTGGATTTCGGGTGGGGGAGTTTCCCTCCCTAACTTCTGCTGCTGCTGAAGTCCTCCTGTGGCCTCACTGCGCCGGGTTGAGAGCCTGGCAAACTGCTCGCCGAGGAGGGTGGACAGCAGGGCAAGGAAGCCTTTAGCGTTTCCAACCGACAGTGCCTCAAGGGCTGGAGCAGAGGCAGGGGGACGAGGCTGCCATAGTCTCAGGACTTGGAGGTGTTTGGAGCGTGGCCATTTCCTAAAGAATCAGCCATAGCTGAGCTGCATGCAGGGGCAGCTGGGCCCCTCCGCAGGGGGAATCCTCCTGATCTTCCAAATCCTTTTCAACACTGTTGTTATGTTTCCTCCCTACTTACCACTGACACCATAATTCTATTTTCCTTCACTAGGAGAGGTTTGGAAAAGGCAAGTCTCCGGCGTTCACACTCTTTGGCTCCCCTCCTGGGCAGAAGGACCTGCTGTTCAAAGATTCTGCCCTCGGGTTTTTGAAGATCCCCTCAAAGATAGATTCTGCACTGTACCTTGGCTTCAGCTTCCTCACCGCCATGCGGAACCTGAGAGAAAGTGAGTGAGGACCAGGGTTGTGGGGTAGCTAGGTGGGGGGAGAGAGAGGGGACTCCTCCTGGGAGCACCTTCCTCCTCCCCCAGCTGCACTGCTCCGTCTCTCACCACTGGAGGTCTTCAAGGTGCTAGGTGGGTGCAGGTGCCAAGGGCCGGGCCTTGTAACCTGTGGGAGTGTCTCCAAACCAGCGGGCTGGCTCCCGATGAAATCTGTCACATGTCCTCTGCACATCAGCCTGGACAGAAAAATCCATTTGCCCCATATGAAGTGAGAAATATAGACTGGGATCAAGAGCACCGGGCCCTCCTGGGATGCACCTGAGGCCTGCTGGACTGTCGCCCCGGGCCCCGGGGGTTGGACTTAAATGGGGATGCCGAGGCAGGCCAGCTCAGCTGTGTCTCATCCTCTGCTGGGGAGGCCTCTGGGTGGGCTGGGAGCTACCATGTAGTTATGGTGGCTGTGGACTCCAGTGTGGTCAGAGTTGGGTTCCAGGTCCCCTAGGCCATCTTTTGGGGCTGCCACTGTCTCTGTGCCCTGAAATTTTTATCCTGTGGGACAGAGATATTGGGCAAGTCATTACAATAAGGACTGCTGTGGATTAGAAGCCACATCTCCAAAGGAAGGGGAGTGAGAAGCAAAGTGGGAAGATTCCTCCACCTGAATGGGTTTGGAAAGCTGAGTGCCGAAGGGGAGGGGCACAGGGGCCAGCTCTCACCAGGAGGAAGGGCTTCCTGTCTGGTTGGAAGGAGGGTGTGAGCTGGAAGGGTATTCTCGGGGATCCGGGCTCCAGGCAGGTCGGTGGGCTTTGGTGTCCCTTGCTAGGCCCAGGGCACCTGCCGATTGGCTGTGTCCCTCTGAGCAGAACAGCAGCTGCAGCATGAGCAGGTGGTGTGGTGCGCCGTGGGCAGCAATGAGCTGCGCAAGTGCACGCAGTGGAGCAGCCTGAGCGACGGCAGTGTGGCCTGCGCCTCAGCCCCCACCCCCGAGGACTGCATCACCCTGGTGCTGGTAGGTGCTGCCTGCGCTGGGGCCCTGCGCCACCTCTCCGTGGGGCACCTGGTTCCTCAGAAAGTGATGGGGAGCAAAGAGGCACTGCCCCCAAGGCCAGGCAGGGATGCCCGGGAGGAGCTCCAGGCCAGTGCAGTGTGCAAACACTGTTCAGTGTGCAGTGTCAGAGTATAGTGTGCAGTGTCAGAGTATAGTGTGCAAACAGGCACAGCTTTCTGTTTCAAGCACACATGTGCACACACACACACACACACACACACACACACACACACACCCCTGCATCTTGCCAGCTGTCCACTCCTACTGATGATTATGGCAGGTCACTTGGAAAATATAGAAAAGTAGGTTATAAAATAATAAAAACCATTTATGATCTCAAGCAGAGACGCCACAGTTAACGTTCTGATAACTTCCCATTTTCTCAGCACGTCTGTGCATCTGCTTGTTATGCAGGTTTGAAGTCCTTGTTTAACAGGCTATGAGGGTCATTTTCCAAAATGAATATATAGTCTTTGAAAAATACTTTAACAATGTCAGGGAGTTTTTACGTGGGTGTGGCTCAGTTTGGTCATGACTGCATTCTGCCTTATCCATTTATTTTGCTATTGCCAATAGCCCTATGATGAGCACCCTTGAATAGAAATCATCATCCACATGTCCAATTATTTTAAATATAGTTGTAGAGTTTATTACTGGACCAAAGAGGAAAATTTACATCTTGATGAATCCATATTCCATTTTTGGAGTGTGGGTCTGTGGTAGGTTGAGTGGATTATTTCTGCTCAGTGGTTAAACCACCTTGGTGTAGCCCTTTGAGTGCCAGTGAGCTGAGCCGAGGTGAGGCCTGGGTTTCTGTCTACTTTCAGTGAGCTTGGCTCAGGTGGGCATCCCAGGAGTGCTAGGAGTATAGAAAGGTTTTAATCAGAGGACAGAAAGTGAGGGCAGCTTGGGACTGATCTTCCCAATGGAGGTGACAGCATGGAAGACATGTAGCTGGTGGATAGAGTTAATAGTGCAGACTTTTACTTTGGGTGCTCAGTTCAAACAACCCCTCTCCCTGCTGCTTCTGGGACACTTGACATAAGGTCATTTTCTGAGAGACAGGTGGGACAGGAAACAGCCTCACTTCTTGTTGGTGATTTGGTTTGTCTTTGCAGAAAGGAGAAGCTGACGCCATGAGCTTGGATGGAGGGTATATCTACATTGCTGGCAAGTGTGGTTTGGTGCCTGTCCTGGCAGAGAACCGAAGTAAGTGGGGTGGGGGTGGGGTGGGGAGTGTCCTCTCTGGTTTATTCTCTGGGGGAGGGGGAGGGGGGAGTAGCCCCACTGGATGGGTCCAGGTGGTGACAGTAAGGTGGCTGGACAGACACATTCAGAAGAGATCAGACCAGTTTAGGTTGGTTTGGCTGTGGAGGACAGACGCATTCAAACTGGAGAGCCAGGGGGAATTCCAAGTGAAAGGGGCTGTTTAACCCATACAGCTTATCATGTCGAGAACTGACAAAACACAGGTTGGTTTCCTCAATTTATTTTTATTTTTTAAAAATATTTATTTGTTTATGCATACAAGAACTAGGCCAGACGTGTGTGTGTGTGGGGGGGGTGAGAGGATTCACCAGAGACAGAGTGGGGAACAGAACAGGCAGATCGGCGGAAATACACTGCTGAGGGGAGCAGTGGGCGAATCAGGAGAGGTCTGCTGCACCGTGTGGGTAGCTCCCTGGCCGGGGATGGAACTCATGCTGCAGTGGCTGTGGATACCTTCATAGGTTGCATTATCCTTGTGCCACCAGGGAGGCCCCAACTTATTTTTATTTGATTTTTTTTAAGATTTATTTATTTATACAAGCACTGGGTACAGTCAAAAGCGCAGGAGGGTGAGAGAATTCACCAGAGCCAGAGCGGGGAACAGAACAGGCAGAATGATGAAATACACTGCTGAAGTGATAGTGAAGGCAAAAGATCAATAGCTACATCAAATTAAAGAGCTTCTGCACAGCAAAACAGACAAAAACAAAAACAAAGAGAAACCCCACTGACTGGGAGAAAATTTTTGCACACAACACTAATGATAAAGGACTGATCACAAAAATTTACAAAGAGCTGATGAGACTCAACAAAAACAAAGAAAATAATCCAGTCAAAAAATGGGCAGAAGAGCTAAAAAGAAACTTCTCTGAAGAGGAAATGCAAATGGCCAACAGGCATATGAAAAAATGTTCAACATCACTTGTCATCAGGGAAATGCAAATCAAAACTACCATGAGATACCATCTCACACCAGTGAGAAGGGCACATATTAAAAAAACTAGCAACAACAAATGTTGGCGAGGGTGTGGAGAAAAAGGAACTCTCCTGCACTGTTGGTGGGAGTGCAAACTGGTCCAACCACTATGGAGAGCTGTGTGGAGATTTCTGGACCTACTAAACATAGAGCTTCCATATGATCCAGCAACTCCACTCCTAGGTATTTACCCAAAGGACACAGAAACATCAATTCCAAAGAGCACCTGCACCCCTATGTTTATAGCAGCACTGTTTACAATAGCTAAGCTTTGGAAACAACCCAAATGCCCAAAAATAGATGACTGGATCAAGAAGATGTGGTACATATATACACCATGGAATATTACTCAGCATTCAAAAAAGATAAACACATGCAATTTGCAGCAACATGGATGGCGCTGGAAGGGATCATGCTCAGTGAACATAGCAGGAATCTAGAAAACTTAAATAAGGGACCAGGATAAAGAATAACTATAAGAAAGAAAGTATCAAAATCAACAAATAACTATGAACAAGAGACACTCTATGGGGGGTGGAGGGCGGGGAAAGGAGGGCTTGGGGTAAAAATATGGGGGTTTTAATTGTATGGGAAATATAAAAATAAAATTTAAATTAAAAAAAGAAAAGAAATACACTGCTGAGGAGAGCAGCGGGCGGCAGGAGAGGTCTACACACCATTTGGGACCCTTGCTGGTGGCTGGGGATCGAACCGGTGCTGTAGAGGCTGGAGGCAGCTTCGCAACCCAGCGCTGAACCACTGAGCCACCTTATTTTTAAAAATGATTTTAGTCAAGTATAATATATATGCAGAAAAGCGTGCATGGTGTACAGTTTCGTGACAAACTGGCACATGCCCTTATACAGTACCCAGGTCAAGGCACAGCATGTCCCCCAAGTCTCCTTGTGATCTCCTGTCACAGCCCCCTTACTCCAGCAATATCTCTCTTGACTGAGACTGTTTTTGAACTTGTATATAAGGAGTTGTAGAGTATGTGCATTTTTAATATCTCTTGTTCTGCATGATTTTTACTATTCATCCATGTAAGAGTGTATTTGTGGATCATTCAGTCTCCTTGTATACTATCCTGTGGTGGGATATGACTGTAATTATTTATGCGTTCAGCTGTGGATGGACACCTGGGTAATTTCCAGTTGGTGGCTCTGGTGACAAGTGCTTCCGTGAACCTCTGTGTCCACATCTGTGGTGAACACATGTATGCATGTCTGCTGCACGGAAATGCCTGGTGGTCTTCCGATTCTCTGTGTTGTTGAACTTTAAACATTTGTGACTTCTTAATAAATCTGAATAATTAATAACCTTTTGCTTTTCTTTTTCAGAGTCCAATAAAAGAAACTCAGATTGTGTGCAGAAACCAGATGAAGGTAAGTTGGTCACTTTCAGGCTTAAGGGTAAGTTCTTGTTGCAGGAGAAGGAAGTGGTGGGAAACTGAAAAATTCATAGAAAGAGATACAAGCATAGAAGACCCAAGTCCCTTTGAAATGCACATAATTCATAGTGAGTCATACTAGTTAGTGTTTATGTTGACTTTCATACTTGGCAGAGAACTTTCACAGAGTTCCTCCTGGGGAAGGTCTCATATGGACAAGAAATCAGAGGTCAGAGTGTCCAACGGTGCCCCCACTCCATAACCATAGGTGATGCTGTAGCAGATACCACCTGCCCTGAACCCTGATCTCTGTGCCAAACCCAATGCTCTTGTTGCCCAGTGCATTTTGCAGTTTGGTGGTTTATGCACTGTTGGTCATGCTAAGTACTCAGTGATTGTTGCTTCAGTATCCTGTAAATAAATAGTTGGTTTATAACTCAGTGACAGTTGCAGTCAGGGGTAGGCCCCTGCAATCATTTAAAGGATCAGCTTTTCTTCCTATTTTTAAGGTGTATTTCTTACACCTCAACCTATAGTAGCAACTAAAGTGTTGCTTCTATAAGTGACAACTTCCGCTTCTCTGGGGGATTCCTGGCTGGCGATACTGCATGGCCTATTTTGACCGGGTTGCAGACAGCTGCACTTCAGTCCATATGCCAGGTGCCCCGGGGTTAAGACTTGCTCTTCTGTCATCCAAGGGTATCTTGGCGTGGCAGCTGTCAGGAAATCAAATGTTGGCCTCACCTGGAATTCTCTGAGAGGCAAGAAGTCCTGTCACACTGCTTTGGGAAGGACCGCAGGTTGGAACATCCCCATGGGCCTGATCTTCAACCAGACAGGCTCCTGCAAATTTGGTAAGGAGTCCAGGGGTGCTGTGGGTGGGCAGCTCTGGGGATAAGGGGTGTTGTGCTGTGGAACCCTATGGTGGGGGGGTCAGGGGCTTGCAGGATTAGTGTGGCCCACATCCTAACCACACACTCCAAGGTGAAAAAACTGAATGTCCATCTGCTTCCCTGCATCTAAGCAGATCCAGGTCTAAGTGGCTCATAGGTTCAGGCTTCCTAATTTAGGAAAAGGCTTCCGTCTGCCTCATGACAGTTACTTCTATTACTAAGTCATGGACTTAGTAAATGAACTGACTTCTTAACTCCACACTGCAAAGGAAAGCCACTAAGACCTCAAAAGTCCTGGCTCAACTGGAGTCATCTTTCCCTCTATACCCCTTGTTCACCTTGGTCAGCATAAGCCATGCCCTACCTGCAGGAGGCCTGGTGGCATGGAGATGTCTGGCACACTTATGGCTGACCTTTTGTGCTGGTGGCCCCAAGAGTGAGACAGGCCTTCATGCAGATCTTATAAGCCAACTGCTCTCACTCTGCAGTCCCCATGGCTGTTCTGAGCTGTAGAGAAACTGACAGGATACCAGTGGGAAGCTCCCCAGACCCTGCCAGAGGTTGGCACCTGGTGTGGTGCCTCCAGAGCCAGGGCTGCACAAATCTGACAATGTTTGCCACTTGCTCATTGGGGCAGGGCTTTCTTGTCATCATTATTTCCTCTCTTCTTAACCTATCTTGATCCATGTTAACTCCTTAGTGGGATAAATCACATGATGGGTCAGTTCAAATTAGCTTCAGCTTCAAGGACAGAAACTCTCACACAGTAGAGGCTTAAACAAGGCAGATATTTGCATGTGCAATCCACAGGTGGATGGTCCAGAACTACTATATGACAACATGGTGTAGGGACTGAGGTTTCACACATCTGGCTCCTCTGACAAATGTGGCTTCTGAGCCAGAGGGCCCCTCATAGCCTCAGTCACAACCGGAGGTCTAGTCCCTGCTTCTGCACTCCACATGCAGAATGAAGGAAGGGAAGAAGGAGCAAGACATGTGACAACTATCTTTTAAGGGTGTTTTCAAGTTGCTGGCACCCAGCGTTCTTGCTCCTGTTTCACATGGCTAGACTAGCCACAGGGCATCTGACAAGACTAGTCTTTATTCTAAGTGACCTGGTGCCCAGGTAAAAAGCAGGGCACTGAGGTAAAGGGGGAATCAGATCCTGGTGTAGCAGCCACCACCAGGCCATCAAAGCCATCGCTTGGGTCCCTGCCATGGCTGCGCAGCCATTGATCCTTCCCAGCCCTGGTTCACCTTCCTGTCATTGCCTACAGTCTGATTTCCGGTCTCTGGGGGGTCGCAGGGTGATGGAAACTGTCACAACCTGAGATGGTGACTGTGTTCTCTCTGTCCTGGTCAATGTAAGAAACTGAAACCAACTTCCCGTTTGGTGAAGACTTCTTGTGTCGACTCAGAAACGGTTGACTTCCCACGTTTCTTCTTTGCAGATCAGTTCTTTAGTCAAAGCTGTGCTCCTGGTGCTGATCCGAGTTCTAATCTCTGTGCCCTGTGTATTGGCGATGATCAGAGGAAGCACAAGTGTGCGGCCAACAGCAGCGAGAGATACCAGGGCTACACCGGGGCTTTCAGGTGAGTGCCGAGACCCAGCTCTACCTGGTCCCTCATCCTCCAGGATCTTGGTGCTGCATTTCTAAGGGCCCAGGGTGGCCTGTCACAGCAGGGTCAGGAGGCATCCTGGGGGGAGGGTCTGCTGAAGGGCCATACCAGTGAGGGCTCCTTCCTCACCGCCACCACCACAGGAAGTGATAGCTGACACTGGGGCTGTCTGACCCCAACTCTGCCAGACTCCTCCCTGTGGCCTGGAGCCAAAGTCAGTCTTAGAAGGCCTCAATATCTTCATCTTCAAAATCAGATGGGTAGAGGATATGGTATCTCAAGTTCTTTCCATAGTTCTGTTTTATGGGGAAGAATTCTCTCGTCCATTGCCACCACCCTCTCCCCCAATCCCCGTCATCACTGTGTCTTATTTTCATTTTTCTCTTTGATGTTGGCACCAGAAATGGCAGAGAACGCTACATTACAGGGTTATTCTTCACTAGTGAAGTGAAACATAAATCTAAAAATAAGTTTCTAGAATTCAACAGTTATAACTACTTTGTGATTCACAGTAATTATCCACAAGCCACATTTTAGAACTACATTTTAGCTGTTGCTTCTCAGCAGTACTATTAGTACTATTGGGGTGTTTGAGATGTTTGAGGCGTTTTTCTCCATTCACCAAGAATATATTTGACCAGCAGATGGCGTCATGTACTTGAGAAAGACAGGACAGTGGCCTTTGAAATTTTTAGTAGAAATTCAGTAGCCTTTGCTCCAGTGATGATGGGATAGATAAAACAGAAGTAAAATTTACTACCCTCCTAATGATTCATAAAAATATTTTGTGAATGTACAAAAAATATCTTGAAGGGACTATGGATTTGCAAACAGAAGAACTGTGATATGATTCCATCAGAAATATTGAAAAGACACATCTGATGAGAATCCAAAGTAATCAAGTAGTGTTTTTATTTCCCTCCAAATCTGTGACAAGGTATTATTTTACTGGAAACACTAACACTTTACTATTTCTATTTATACTAGAAGAAAACTCTTTCAATTTTTGCTCAAATCGAAAGTTGAAAGCAGAAGTCCTAGTCACATCTGTGAACTTATTGTCATTATACTAACAATAGTCAGCTGCTTTGTCCTGATTTTTTATTATGGAAGATCTAGCCTCTCCTACTGCTCATGTGCTTTTCTACCCACTAAATTCCCCTTTTCGTATTATCCAAAAAAGATGATGTCATCTTCAGTGCTACATTATTATGAACATGTATTTTTCTTATTTCTTTGGTTTAACTCTTCATGTTTAACATTTTATGTTTCATTTAATTTTCTGTGCTTTCAAAAAAAATATCATGAATTCCCCTAATTCATCTCAAGACTCCATAGCAGCAGAGTAAATGAAACAATACCCAGCAAACAGAATGCGTGTGGTTTCTCTCAGGAGCGTTTCCCTGGGAACGTTGCTCCGGAATACCCACTTCCTCCTGCCACTTAGAATTGGTGCTCTCCAGCTGCTTGTCTGTGGTCCTGGGATTCACTTAACTATCATTCCGGGATTCCCCTTTGTCTTATTTCATGTTAAATTGCCTCTTTCTTGGATTCCCTATCATTTGCTTTCTTGGTTTTATTGGAACATCTTGAGAAATGGGGCGTAAGAGTGGCTGTTTTTCGAGTATTTAAGTCAGAAAACAACTTTATTCTACCTTTGAAATAATTTATAGTTTGACTGGATAGTTTGGTTGGAAAACATTTTCTCTGGGAAATGTTTGGCAGGATTCCCATATCTGAGAAATGGCAGCATTACCTATTGTGACAAATTCTCCCATGAAAAACAAGCAAAAATGCTTGATTAAGTACACACACACCCAGACACACACGCACACACACACATTCTTGGAGCACAGAATAACTGATGAAGTAATAAGGAGTAATTAGAGAAAAATCTAGTGGGGGATGGAATTGAAGAGCTAAATGGGGCTATTTAGTTCTGAGGACATTGACATCGCACAAATTTGAACCCAAAGTTACATACCTTTCAGGTAAGAGCGAGAAGTTTCTCTAAACGTCCAAGGGTCTCTGGCTGTTTGTCCTTATTTAGGAGTGACGCAGCAGAGCTGACTGTTCCCTAACAGTTGTCTCATCTTGCCTAGTGTGAGCCTCTCAGGGCACTTGGTTTGCATTATCTCAGCATAGAGCAGCCACAGCATTTTGCTTGGGTCAGTCACTTTCTCCAGAGAAGTGGCTCCTCCTCTCTGATTCTTGGGAGGCTGAGTGGGAGGGGAGGGTGGAGGGGCTATGATTTAAACGTCTAGGTTGGATTTTCACTCCATTCTCTGTTTTCAGTCCTGGGCCTCGGCCTTCAGCTGTGTGTGGTTCCCTAGTCTGTGGTGTTCAGATCCCGCATCTCCATGAACCCGTGTTCAGTCTTCTGTCAGGGGGGTGTGTGTGTGAGGGGGCCAGGCTTCCACCTGCACATGCTGGGAGGGCATCTGAACTGCATCCTGTCTGCCTGTTCTGCTCCCCACTCTGTCTCTGGTGAATCCTCTCACTCCCCCACACCTCTGGCCTGCACCCCGGTTCTTCCATGAATAAATAAATCTTTGGGAAAAAACCGCAGCCTGTGTTGGCTCTATTCTCATTCTCAGCCACTTTCAGAGGTGCTGCGCTGGGACTTCTCTTAAGAATTTCTGGAGTTCTGCACCACGCATCTGCTTTCTTTTGCACTTGCCCACTTCCACCTTCCACTGCAGTTTTCTTTGTTCTGCTGAGTTCATTCCTGTTTACCCATTTGCTTTCTAAATTCCAAACGTTGTCATTATTCTTTATTATCTTCTCCCCGCTACCACCCTGGGGCTTATGGATTTAGAAAAGTATCTCATTAATGTCATTGCATTGAGTTTAGAAGGAGAGGAGGTATATATACATGTTTGTGTGTGTTCAATCTGCTTTTTTATTCATAAGTTCCTGGAAATATTTGTCTGTGTCTTTTCCATGTTTACTTCTGTGTTTCAGGTTCGGAATGTATATTACAAATATTTATGAAACCTCTAATAGCTTTTCTTCTCTGACCATGTTTATTTTCTGGAACACTGTAGGTGCCTGGTTAGCAATGCTGGCGATGTTGCATTCGTGAAAGACAGCACCGTGTTGGATAACACCGATGGTAGGTGAAGCGGCTTCCTTTCTCCAGAGCAGAGTCTGGCATTACTATGTGTCCTAGCGTTCAGATTTGCCATTAGGAAACTATTAGAACCTTTTTCACTGTTAGGATTAAGTTAATCCCCAAATTCTTCACCTCAACTTGCAACATGGTTAAGTCTAGCAGGTATCACTTAGATTTTGAGATGGAATTTTCTCTCTCTGTCTCTCTCACACACAAGTGCACACGCACGTGCGCACGCACGCACATACACACACGCACCCCAAGCAGCAGATGTCTTCCTGGCTCTGTCTAGCCAACCAGACATGCACATCATTAGTCTGTACTTGCCTGTGGGAAACTGAGTGGAATGACACTTCAACAATTCAACAAATGCAAACAAGTATTTCCCCTTTAAGCAAGGGGCATGGGACTTCGTTGAGCTCTATGTGAGCCTTAGTCTGGAAATGCCTTGGAAGTTAACAGGGAGAAAATCCCAGGCAGATGCAGATGACAGCTGATCACCTTCCAGCCCACATTTGAGTAATCACCCTGTCTTCTGATCTCCAGATGAAGATAATTGTTATGGAGTTAGACTCTTAGCCTTTGCTACCTTCCGAACCTCCTCTCTCCATAGTCCCCGCTCCACCTCCCCACCCTTCTCAGCAGCTGACTTGCCCTTTGGTCCCTGGAGAAAGAACTCCCTCAACTTTCTGCCTTGCTCCTTTAGTGAATCTGCAGTAACAACTGCTCCTCCTGCCTTCTCAGGACCCTTGGGAGACTAAGACCAGATACATGAATCTGGAATTATCACAGTATCAAATGCACGAAGCCAAGAGAAAAAATGGAGTGTTTTCTTCAGGGGAGAGGACAGGACAGACAGGCAGGGACCTGAACAGAGAACCTCTAATTTTGCACATGCACAGACATGCACATAATTACACTTCAAATTTATGAATTCTTAACCTAAGTGTAAATTCAATTGTCAGCTTCTCTGGCATTTTAAACTATTTTATTGGAATTAGCTAAAATATCCACATTAACTATACGTAGAAGTTCCTGTCTTTTTTCTGGTTACACTAAGGGTATTTGAGTACAAAAGGAAGGAGAAAACCATTTCTTCATGAACATAAGCCAGCTCTTTCTTTTTTTGGAACCCATGGAAAATATGGCACAAGTGGAGGCTTTCTTTTTAAAAAAAATTAAAAATTTAATAGCCTTATTGAGATACAAGTCACATGATATCCACCCACTCCCAGTGTACAAGTCATTTTACATTTACAGAGCTGTGCTACCACTAACAATCCAATTCTAGAATGTTCACATGCCCCATAAAGAAACCCTGGGCCTATTGAGCAGTCACTTTCCTGGTCCCCCGGAGCTGGGGACCATCAGTCCCCTTTCTGTCTCCATAGATTTGCCTATGGACATTTCACATAAGTGGAATCCTACAAAACCTGGTCTTTTGTGTCAGCTTCTTTCACTTAATATCATGTTTTCAAGGTCCCTACATGTGACAGCACATAGTAGTACTTCTTTTTTAATAGCTTAATGTATTTTAATAGCAGACTTACAGGAATAGCATAGAAGACAGACAACATTAAAAAGGTACTGGCATGGAGGACAACTCAGTTAGAAAAGTATAGTGATGGATGGAATCTACTGTATGATAAAAACGCTGCAAACACTATAATAGTTGCTGTTAATAATTTCCCTTCTTTTATTGCTGAGAAATACGCCATTGTATGGCTACAGCAGTTAGGTTTGCTATGTTTGAGATTTGGGTAGCTTGTGCAGGGCGAAGCTTTCTTTTTCTCTGTAACATCACTGCAGCCCCAGGGTAGGCACTTCAGGAGGCCAGTGGCTGGGCACATTGACACAGAAAGGACCCTTTGACCAAGCCCGGCAGCCACAACTGATGTCACCTTTTTTCTCTCTCCAGGAAAGAACACTGAAGCGTGGGCTAAAGCTCTGAAGCTAGAAGACTTTGAGCTGCTGTGCCTTGATGGGTCCCGGAAGCCTGTGACGGAGGCGCAGAACTGTCATCTGGCCGTCGCCCCAAATCATGCTGTGATATCTCGGAGAGAGAAGGCAGAGCTGGTGGAGAAGGTGCTGCTCCAGCAACAGGTATGGGCCACCAGCGCCTCCGGCTCTTTCTTAACTCAAGGGCTTCTCTGTGATGGGGCGACCCTGAGCTAGGTGAATCAGCACATCCAGAGCCTTTCTCTCTAGTCTCTGCTAGAAACTGGCGGATGCAGTATCTGCTTCATGCCGTGGGGCTATCCCACAGTCTCAGTGGGGAAGCAGAGGCTTCTGGCACTGGGCTTTGTGGGACTGACTTACTTACCTTCTGCCTCTGGGCATGTGCTGTCAGGCCAGCCTCAGAGATGCTACTCTCCTTGTCCCCCCTTTTTGCTCTGCAGCAGAGGGAAAGGAGTGACCCATCCTCCCACAAAGTCTAGGTAGGTAGGGAGTGGTTTACCCTGGGGGTGTTTCCTGAGCAGGGGCCAACTAAGCAGTGTTGTATATAATCTGCATTTGAATGTCCACCAACAATAAACTCAGAACTGAAGATTTGAGGTTATTTATGTGGTTTGAAGGAAATCCTACAATTTCTTTAGTGTCTGTGACTCTCTATTAGAACTTTCTTTACATTAAAACATCATATCTCCAGGTGTGCTTCAAAGTGTGCTTTATTATTCCCTGGGGTGGAGGCACCATAGCTGACTTTTAAGGAGCCCTCACCCTGCACACTTACCGGGCCTGTAAGAAGTCTGCTGTCATTGAGGTGGCTGATTCTCACAACTCGCCCTGGGTATGGAGGAGGAACTGGGCTAAGGCAGGCTAGGCGACCTGCCCAAAGCAGTGACCTGGTGAGTGGCAGAGAAGATTCCTAACACAGCCGGCCTGTCTGGGAGAGCTGGTCTTTAGAATATTTGAAGGTGATCAACTTTGAGGACAGATCTCAAAACTCCTCAGCTGTTGCCTAGACACCCATAAGAAGTTCTAAAGGGAGGAAACCACAGATTAAGAAGAAAGGATACTTGCGATATAATGTATGGGCGATGACTGTAGTTAGCCCTGCTGTGTGATACGTTGGCAAGCTCTAAAGGGAGCAAGTCCTAAGAGTTCTTGTCTCGTGGGGAATTTTCTTGCCTTTTTCTTGTGCTTGTATGAGAAGATGGGTATTAACTGAACCAATTGTAGCAATCATTTTACAACATATAAAAATGAAATCATAATGCTCAAATGCCTTAAACTTGTCCAGTGAGGTATGTCAATTATTTCTCAATAAAACTGGGGGAGGGGGGGCAGTGAGCGACTCCAGAGCTCACAGCTTTCCAAGAGCTGATCTTGGGTGAAAGGAACCTCCACGGCTTCCCCTAGCTATAATCTCTCCTGTTAGCCTTGGCCGCTCACTGTTGACCCCTTTGACACAGGCTCGTTTTGGAAGGAACGGACGTGACTGCCCGGGCAAGTTTTGTTTATTCCAGTCTGAAACCAAAAACCTTTTGTTCAACGACAACACAGAGTGTCTGGCCAGACTCCAAGGCAAAACAACATATGAGAAGTATTTGGGGCAAGACTATGTCACAGCCGTCGCTAATCTGAGACAATGTTCTACCTCCCGTAAGTGGTTGGAGCATGGGTGGCATCCCTGAGAAAGCTCCAGGGGTGCAGGTGAAAGTAGAAAGACCAAACAAAATTGCGAAGCAGTATAAAGCTGTATACCGCAGGACATTGCAAAATTTTTGATGAGGCCAAAGAATTAGAGAATAGAATAAAGGAATAGATAATATGTTAAATTTCAATAAGCCAATAGTGACAGCCTTGGAGATTTTAGAAAGTGATCCATTTTATTCATGAAAATGAAATGTTTTGTGTGTACACAAACTTATACGTGTATATATAACACATGTACACATACACATGTTATGTGTGTGTATATATATATGCATACCTACAGATATATACATGTCTGTGGATATATGATAGACTCTTAGTACAGTGATCACACAAAGCAGGGCTTAGCAAGTATTTGTGAATGAATGAGTGACTCACAGCTGCCAGGGGAGGGGCTGGTGCAATGTGAGTGTGGCAAGCCCTTACTTAGTGGGGGAAAAGCAGAGGAGAGTCTGTTAGCATCTTCCTCCATTGATCTATTGACTTTTAAAAAAGAAATCAGTTTCTGAGTCTGCTGCCTTATTGTGTTCCACAGAGCTTCTGGAAGTCTGTGCCTTCTTGAGTGGGTAGAACCCCAGAAGATAGCCCGGCCTCCACGAGGGCGCCTCAGGCCTCAGTGCTCTCAGTCCTTACCCAGGTGCAGTAACTGTCTTCTTTCTGAAGGTGGATTGGCCAATTTCATCTGTTTTTGTAGTACCCTGCTGTCCTCTTGACAAGAAATAAAGTGAGAAATGCTGTTGGATCCCATTCCTTATAAAACTTCATCTTTTCCAGAATTTTATACTGAAAGCATGTGTCTGACCAAATACCTGTGCAGTGGAAACTTTCCTTCCAATTTTCCCAGGTCCAGCTCCTCTCTTTCGTGCAGCTTTGGGTATGATGTCCCATGGTCTGGTAGCCAAGGATAGAGCAAGCAACTATTTCCCTGGGGGTATCTGGTTGGTTGTTCATGGTTGTCTCAGTGTATGGATGTGTGTGCACGCATGTGTGTGAGCGTGCAGAGTGTGCGTGTGCGAGTGTAGATAGTGTGTGCATGTGAGTGTGCTCTTGTGAGTACACAGTGCCTGTGGTGGTATATGGGAATATGTGTATGTTATATGTGTGTTTCTAGGACAGGGAAGGGAATAGAGTAAGAATCAAGGGATCAGCGAAAGAAACTGAGTATTAAGAGGAATTGTATTTGGTATTTTGAATAAATTATATCATGTAGAATAAATGTATACCTGGAGATGTCTCCAGGTCCTTTTGTCCAACAAATTAGACCTGTTCTGGAGCAGCCACCGGAGGCCATGTGGGGAGGGAGGGGGCCTGTGAGAACTGGAATTCGAGCACCATCTGGGTGCAGGCTGACTCAGTGGAGGAGCGAGGAAAAGTTCAGTGTGGCCAGCACCCCACAGGCCAGGCACTGAGCTCCTCATTCAGCCTTGGTGGGTTCAGCAGCCGGGTGCGGGAGGTGCCCAGCCCCAGTGGTCTGAGACAGCGAGGCCAGATGACTTGCATTAAGTCCCCAGGAAGAGACAGACACCCTTTCCTTCTGGCTGCAGAGCAGGCACAGAGAGGCCTCCAGGGAAGTGACTCATCCCCTTCTCAGGCCATATAGAGGGAAAGATCAAGGAGCGTAGAATCTGGAATTTGGATCAAAGCTTTTCTTTCTGTTAGATGTGCCTGAGATGTTATTTTAGAGAAGAATTTTGCTTTTCTCACTGGCTATAAATAGCAGCTAAGGGATGCCCTGGTCATAGGGCCCATCTTCCCACCCCTTTGGGCTGCTGTGAAAACACCAGTGCAGTAATTTAGGGGGACTCACTGTACAGACGATGGCCTAGAGACAGGCCAGGAGATGGTAAGTGGCGGCCACGAGCAGGAGAGGGATGAGCACTGGATGACAGGCTGATAACAGACATGACAAGCCCCGTCTCTGCCATGAGAGCTGTGCTATTTAAGCCTCATGCATATTGAGGCTTCAATTTTCTTTGAGGGATTGCTGTGTAGTTCAGGTATGATGTCTGTGAAAGCTCTTTATAAAGCTAAAGGCCTGTTGAAATCAGGTTTCGAGGGGTGCCTCAGACCTGCAAAGGACCTGCCGCTCTTCGGAAGGGGGATGGCAGGGGCTAATGTGGCCACAGCACATTTGACCAAAGGAAAAGTCAAGATCATTGGCTACTCAGCTGAAGTTCAAGTGCAACAGGGCAGCCTGTGTATTTTTTCAACTTCAAATTGTATTGCTTTGCCACTCGCTGACTCCCAGCGTTTCCAAATTCATTCCCTTTTTTACCCAGAAATACAAAGACTTGAAAAGAACAGGAGCTTGTACCTGAGATACTAACCTTTCTTTCAAATGTTCCACATCAGAATTATTTTGACCAGCTAGGACTTTTTTTTTTTTTTTGGGCATTAGAAAATCATTTGTAAAAAAATACATTTGTAGGCAAAACAGTTTTGCTTGACTACACTTGCCACCTTCTCTTGGGCTTTTATTGTTAGTTTTCTAATGCAATAGTTTATGGAAAAGTGGCGAGGTGTGCATTCTTTTACTCTTTAGGGTAAGTATCTTCTTGTTCTGCCAGGGGAGGGAGATCCTGTTCAACTATTATCCTTTCAAGGTACCTCTGATATGTGAGGGTTGTTACAGTTGGATCATACATCACAAACTTGATTTTCAATAACTGTTTCCTCCCAGTCACTGTAAAAGTTGTAGATTTTTATTCTCTACACACTCTATATTTTCATAATGAAAATTCTGACAGGATTGGTCTTTGAGTTCATCGCTAAGACTGTACACATCCCAAAATGTCATCTGAGATTTCTCCCCGACATGCTGTAGACAGCTCTACTTATATAATTCTGTGACGAGAATTTCTCTGTCCTCTCCTCTTCTCTTCTGGAATTTCCTAGCCTCTTTGCATACCTCCCAAGATCTTGCTCTCATCTTGTCATGGTGTTGCTATTTGTGATTTAATATCAGTCTGCATGAGCTCTCTCAGCTCAGGCTGCTATAATAAAATATCAGAGACTGGGTAGCTTACACACCAGAAATTTATTTCTCATAATTCTGGAGGCTGGGAAGTCCAAGCGTGGTGAGGTTACGTATCTGACTTTCGCTGGCCGTCTTCCACTGCGTTCTCCTGTCTCTTCTCATGAATTCACTACCGCCACCATGAGGGCCACACTTTATTGACCTCATCTAAACTTAAATACCTCCCGGAGATCTCATCTCCAAATGCCATCACAGGGGGCAGGTGTGGGGGGAAGGGCTTCAACATTGAATTTGGGGTGGGGACACAATTCATACATAGCACCCACTGAGACCACAGAATAGCCAGTGCTTGCTATAGATGGTGCTCCCTTTGGGGTCTCCCTCAGGGCCTCTGCTTCCCCCTGCCTCTTCAGTGGCGCAGGTGAGAAGTGTGGTCCAGGGGCATTTTGTATTTTATCTCTTAACTCAGCACGTGTAACAGAAACACCCTTACTGGATCTCCCCAGTGTATTTATTTGTTGTGTATTTCCAAGACAAGTCATACTAATATAATTGATTGCCTGGAACATCTTTGGAAGGTTCTTTTCCTTCAGAGCCTTTTCGAGGCTTAGTGGATTTACAATAAACCACATATGAAGGCATACGATTTGGTAGGTTTGGACATACGGATATGCCAGTGAAACAATCACCACAGTTAACATACAAACATATCCACATCCCCAAAAGCTTCCTTGTACCTCCTTATAATCCATCCTTCTCTCCTCCCACCCAGAATCTCCTCAGCAAGCATTGATTGCTTTCCAGAATATGGATTTGTTTTTCAGAATTTTCTAAAATTTTGGATATATGGAATCACAAAGTAAACACTCTGAAAAATCTGCCTTTTATCTCACCTTTTGAGATTCATGCATGTTGTTGTTTATCAACAATTTGTTCCTTTTTATTGAAAAGTATAAGTTCCTTATAAAAGTATACCACTTTGTCTATCCCTATATCTGTTGCAGTACATTTGGGTTGTTTCCAGTGTGAGGTTATTACAAGCAATGTTACCAGAACGTCCCATGTGTAAGTCTTTGTACTGAGATACATTTTCATTTCTTTTGGTTAAATACTTAGGAGTGGAATGCTTGATTGCTATATGCTTAATTTTAAAGAAACAGCCAGATTTTTCTAATGTGTCTGTGTGAGACATTGTGATTTATAGAAAATACATATTTGGTCATTGAGGTCACCAAAATATAATTTCTTATACATATTTGGTCTTCATCCCCAGTTCCTGGTTCACAGAACCCTTGGAATTTCTTGTGTTGAGAGCTTTAGGTGTGTCTCTTATTAAATTAATGAAGGTAACTTTTGAAAAACACCCAAGGCTGGTTGTCAGAGAAGCCAATTTGAGTAGCATCGAATAGTGAGACTTTCCTCCTACTCCCTGGGAGGGGAGAGAGGGGCTAGAGGTGGAGTTCAAATGCTAATAGTCAATAATTTAATCACTGTAAGGGGCAGGACAGGACACAGTACAGGTTTTCTGATCCCATGCAGAACGGGTAAAGGAGGAGTCAGAGTCTTCAGTGGTTTTGCAGGTTTTTATTGGGGTTTAGTGGGGACATGGCAGGCAGGGGTGCTGGGGGGCTCTCTGGTGATCTTGGCTTTTCTTCGGCTTCTGCTGCTGCTTTCTTGGCTTCTGGCGTCCCTGCGACGCCGCCCTTAAAAGCACAGTCTTAGCGCAGGTGTACCCACTTCAGGAGCCCGCCATCTGGCATGCATTCAGGATCACATGGTTCCCTCATCTATCCTGATGGCGGGAGGGCAGAAAAGCCTGATACCTTTTACCTTACCCTACAATCACTCACGCCTATGTAACGAAGCTTCCCTAGAAGTCCAAGAGAAAGGGACTTTAAAGAGCTTCTAGGTTGATGAACATGTAAAAATTTAAGGGAGAATGGCACACCTGCCTGGAGCCCTGCGCCTTTCCCCGTAGCTGGCTCAGTGCAGCTTTCTCATCTGGCTGTGGACTTGTATCTTCATCACTCCTTTGTAAAAAAATCTGTGATCTACAAAACGGGAGGGAAGAGCGCTAGAGTCTGTCTATGGTGAGGGTTCATGTGTGTCTTATTGGTGGTAATTTTATGGGGAAAGCATTTGAGAGGAGAAATCAAACATCATGCAAAAATGAAGAACTATGTCAAATATATTACTAAGAATGGAAAAACAATATAAAAATATTTACAAATATTACCAATGCAACAAAACATGTAAAAAAAATTGGTGATCTAGTGAATCAATGGGTTTCCTGGGTTCTGTGTGCCCTTCTAGCAAATTAATTGAATCTGAGGTGAATGTTCTGGGAAGCTCTGATTGATAACAGGTGATCAGAAGCCTAGACGAGAACCTGGGACTTGCGGCCCCAGCCTTCAACCTGAAGCGTGAAGAGGGTTTTGGGGAGAGCTCTTGTCTTTCGCCAGTTGGTCAGAAGGGCAGGCTTGCCTGGGGCTTGGGGCCGGTGTCTGAAGTGGAGCGTGGACTTGGGAGACTGAGCTCTTAACCTATGGAATCTGACATTATCTCCCCAAGATAGTGTCAACTTGCCTTAAACTCTTGGATACCCTGTTGAAGCCCAAGAAATGTTTGTTGGCGTGGGGAGGACTCAGCACCCACACACCCTTCGGAAATTGGGTCTCAGAATCCAACAACACGGTATGTAATTTACATTTCCACCAGCAGTGTCTGAGAGCTCCAGTCGTTCCTCATCTTGCTTTGGATAGGGAAGCTGCCATTTCAAACTTCACCTTATGTAAAGGCAGGACATGGGCACAGTGCAGGTTTTCTGATCCCATGCAGACCGGGTAAAGGAGGAGTCAGAGTCCTCAGTGGTTTTGCAGGTCTTTTATTGGGGTTCACCAGGCATATGGCAGGCAGGGGTGCTGGCTGGCAGGCCTCCCAGCCCCCAGCAAGTCTTCACTCTATCTGGGCTCTCAGGCATTCATTCTGCTGCTTCTCGGCTTCTCTTTCGGCTTCGGCTTCGGCTTCTGCTGGCATCCCCGTGACGCCGCCCTTAAAAGCACAGTCTTAGCTCAGCTGAATCCCATCTACCTATGCCCACACCCTATTCCAGGTGCCCGCCATGAGGCATGCATTCAGGACAAGGATCCATCATCTATCCTGATGGCAGGAGGGCAGAAAAGCCTGACATTTTCTTTACCCTACACCTTAGTTTCTTGTTTCTTTTATGGTGGTAACTAGCTGTAGGTAAATGAATTAATCAGGCTTTTACGCCACTAACCTCTGTGGCTATCACCTGTGACCTTGTGGTTTTGATGCAGAAGGTGCTGGGGAGTGTGGGCGTGGGGCACACGTGCCTGATTGTGGATATCTGGAGTATGGGTGTGTGCATGCATGTGCAAGTGTGCACACCTGAGCTTGGAGGTCAGGGCTATAAGGGCAGCTATGAGAGGAGGGGCGGCATGACTGCAGAAGAGTTGAGATCTCGAGAGAGTGCTGGAGAGAGCCCAGAGGAGGAAAGCTCAGAGATTCTGGGGCTCACCAGCCTCCGGGTTCCCCTCCCTGTGCCCCCCTGTGCCTGGTTGCCCCTCTACACTAGCATTTGCCTTTGAAATAGCAGGAGACTCTGTTTTAGAGAAAACCCTGAGCAACTTCTTTTGGGCTGCGCCCACCCCATCTCACTTTGAAGTTGACTGTAGCTCTATCACATTCCTGAAAGAGCAGCTCCAGCTGAAGGCCTCTGTGAGCAATGCAGAGTGTCAGAGAACAGGTTTATGTCAGTAAAACGGAAATCTTTGGCATATGTCCTTTTATTCCTCTCCTCGCAGCTGACAGCTGCCTCACGGATCCTCTGTCCCTGCCTCCACTGCATCCCTATCCCCGCCTCTCCAAATCTCTCTACTTTCCTGAATAATTCATCCTTGGTTCTAAATTTCGTAACAATCACAAATTCAGCACAGAACAGAACCTCATGGTGAGATCCTGCTCCCTAGAACAGTGGTTCTCAGAGTATGGCCCCAGGACAGCAGTATCCCTACGAATATGTTACAAATGTAAATTCTGTGTTCCTACCCCAGACCTATAAATCAGATACTCTGGGGTGGGACCCGGCAATCTGCCCTCTACGTAGACGGTGTGTTGTGTGCTAAGGTTTGAGAGCTACTGCCGTAGAATATCTTTTAGAGTCATCTGCTGTTCCCCGGGCATGTCACTGAAGGGGCACAGCCACCACACACAGGTTTTTTCAATAATTCATCTCCTACAAATGGAGGTCTTCAGTTATGGGGTAGCAGATGGAGATTTCTGATGCTCAGGAAAGATTTTTCTCCCTCTTATTTCTTCAGTACAAAGCAATTTCTACCCACTGTTTTGAGAAAGAAAGGACCCTATTTGGTTTGCCAAAATTTGGACTATGGATGGTTCAGGTGTCCCTGTGTATTTATTTGCATGCATCCATTTTAGATTGGAAGGTAGGAGCTTCCTGTGAGGAGAGGTCCACTGTTTTTCTCTAAGGCTCAATGGCTTGATGTGTGCCTCCCTCCAGGAGAGGGGCAGTGTGATATGGCACCCTTGGGTGCAGCCGGAGTGGGTAACCTGGCTCAGTTTTCAGGACGCATCAATGCCTGGCCTCCAGTTCACTTCTGTGCAAAGATGTTGGGCCAGCAGATGGAGGCAACCAGGGCAGGCCCATGTCTGCCGACTCAGCCATAAGCAGTGACAGTGCCCCCATGACAGCAAGGCAATGGTGGCCTCCAGGTCTCGAGAACCAGTGGGGAGGGCATCAAGAAATCAGTGAGTGTGGCATCCAGCTCCAAACACCAAAGACAGGATTGTTTTAGGGCCAAGTATGAGCCATCCTTACAAATCTAAGGGGCCTAAGAGGTAACCCTAATTCAGAATGTGATCCAATTGGTTTTTAAAGTACATAGTTATTTTACGTGCCTTTTGCCCAATTGTGTGCTGAAGTAGGCATAGTCTTTGATTCAACCAGTGCCCCAGCTCTGCACTTTTTAGCTTTGTGGTCTTAGAAGAATTTGGAGCCTCAATTTCCCCTCCAGAGAAAGGAGGCCAATTCCATGTATACCATGGAGAAGTAGTGAGGTGTGAAGGAGGAGCCTACCACAGTGCCTGAGACAAAATTGATACTCAGTGCGTCGTTTGCCTGCCCTGTTTCTTCTTGTATCCTGCTTTATATGCAGATGTGTAAAAATCAATTACACAAAACAATTTAATGAGACAAATCAATGTTTATTTATCCTGCCTTTGAAGGAAGCTGGTTTAAACTTCAGTGGAATAGCTGAGTTCTCCTTGTGGTGAATTGTGCGCAGGTACCTGGGAGGTTTGAAGTGGAGTGTTACCACACAGAGGGCAGAGGCATTTCCTAAATGTCTTGTTGAGAAACATGAAGAGAAGCGGGTTGACACAGCAGTGGGAGGCGGCGAGGAATTTCGTTATCTGAACACCTCCGTCCAGGTGGTAGGTGCTTTTGCAGTCATGCAGGGAGAAGAATTCTTTGAAAGTTGCCAGGAAAAGCACAATATTATAGGGTCCCCACATCAGAAGGAAAATAACCATTATGGCAAAAACGAGCTTGAAAAGGTTATACCTCCTCTCCTGGAACCTTAGTGTTTTTCTCATTTGCAGATAGCAAAATATAGAAATAATTAGTGGAAAAAGAAGTCCCAAAATGTTCATCTTTAAGGTCAGAAAATGCTTCCAGAATGGCTCTTCAGCTGGCAGGAATGAAGGCTTGTTAAAGGAGCACTGACCTTCCACCTTAGGTTTGTAAAACATGAGTTCAGGCAGTGTGACCAGAAAGACTGTCCCCCAGGCCAGGACACTTGCGATGATGCTGCAGGTCATCGTCCTGGCGGCTGAGGAAATCCTTCTCACATCGAAAAACACCAGGTACCTCTGCACAATGAGAAGGGTATTCCAAAGTGCCTCACTGTAGAGGCCGACAGAGTAGAGCCCAGTGACGATCTTACACATGGGGTCGCCAAGGATCCCCCCGTGGGAGGCTGTGTGAGCCCAGAGCGGTAGGGTGAACAAGAAACACAAATTAGAAATGGTCAAGTTTAAGAAATAGATGTTCTCCACATGTCTGAGTCCTTTGTATTTTACTAAGACGAACACCAGCCAGGTGTGGCCCAGGATCCCGGCCATGAACAAGGCGGAGTAGAGCTGTGGCACCAGCCCCGCTGAGAGGGTCCTGGTGTCATATTGGGGGCACCACGTGGCCTCCAGGTCGTGGTCATTCAGATCCCCCTCTATGAGCACGTCATACTCGTCCTCTGGCGCTGGTGTGTAATTGGCCATTGTCGGGCTGTCCTGTGGAGAGAGGGAAGATTATTTTCCCTTCAGGCATCTGAAGAGGGAGCAGCAGACAGCACTACCATCCTCGCAGTCACACCTCCCCTTTTCTGGTGCTTAATTTTGGCCAGAATAGGTCTACACCCGAGAAGACTGAGAATAAACACTTCTCTCACATGACCCTACTTTCCGAGGGAAGCGGCCACCGCCCACCCCAGAAGCACTTGGGTGCCTCATCCGGGTCTGATCCACGGGAGGTCAAAGCAAACAGTCGCTTTTCATGGGACTCACGCTCTCTGGGTAGGAACAAGTCTTGCCCACCTGACGGCAGCGTGTGAGAAAACACACTCGTACAGAGAACCACCCAGGTTAGAGTCAAGAAATAGTTGCAAGTCACAATATTTCATGTTTAAAAAGTTTACTCACCCTGAGACTGCTTGCTGCGACAGGCTGGGATCTGAGTTCTTGTGAAGGATAGAAACAAATGTTGGCAAAAGTGAAACCATCCTCAGCATCAACATGGAGATAAGTGACTTAAACACATTGATGACTTACCACTCAGGATGAGTTCCTGGGGGGAAGGGCATAGCCTCCTGACCTGCCATCCACGCTGCTGTGGGAATGGCCTGGGCAGTTGAAAGTTTCCTTCTGAACAGCCAGCCCTGACCCTGAGGGGCCGGAGGAACCGCTGTTTATTCCCCTTGTGGGTCTACCCACCAGTCACGGTTCTCTGGGGACTAGCCGCAATAAAGCAACTTGAAAGCTCCCCCAGGCCCCCAGGGTTTCTTCAGCCTCTGAGAGAAACTGGGAAGTTGTTTTCTCCTCCTGCTTGCTTTCCCTGCACCCCGCCTTTGATTTCCCTGTGGCCTTTAGATGGCCCTCCTCCTGGCTGCTCCAGATAAGGGAACTGAGTTTCTGCTGTTCTGCGGAGATACGGAGGGAGTGATGGGGAAGCGCTCTGACTGGGGACACTCTGAGGAGTAACAAGTGGTCAAAATGCCTCACAGAAACTAGGGGTCCTGATGGAGAGAAACCAGCATTTAGCAGAAGCCCACTCCCTGAATCAAAATGGGCATCCAGAAATCCAGAGAACCACGACAAGTGGTATGTGTCTGGGTTTTTAATTGCCAGTGTGTGCTTGGCCTGAGGGTTGGGGTCAATGGGGGGAGGATTTGGGGACAATGAGGCTGCAGAGTGATGTCATTGGGCAGCAGGCTTGAGAGATGGGGCTTTCGTGCCAGTGACGGGGAGGCTGTCGTGAAATATGAGAGAAATTGGTAGTGAGGAAAGTGAGGACTTAAGTAAGCTGTTAGGGGCTGACCCAGATCTGAGAAGGGGAACAGAAACAGGAAAATTCCAAGGTGAGGACATAGAGGCATCATCAAGTCAGGGCGCAGAGAATGTGCAGGGAAAAGGTTCAGCTCCACCCTGAGGCTGGGGGTGTGGTAGGGCTGAGTCCAAAGCAGAAGAGACAGAAGAGCCCAGACCTGCAGTGGTGGGAGGAAGTAGCTAGGGGGATAGGGGGTGGGGGGTGCCCAAGATGTGTGGGTTTCGGAAGAAGGATGAACTGAGAAGAGGAACTTGAAAAACTGAGAACTATGTATGGACATCTCCTGAATTTACTCTTTATCCTGTGCCCGGCAAAGTCTGTGGACCAGTCTTAGTTGGTCTGGCATTCATCTGGCTGGCTAAATGACATCCTTTTGAGGCAAAGACATGTTTGAAGTAGCATTCAATACAGAATGTGGGCCTGCTAATATAGATATAGATATGAGGGAACTATTAAGAGAAAGGACAAGTAAACATTAAAAAGGGCCCAGACAAGTATGTGACTGAGCATTAAATTTAACTCACAGGAAAATGTAGCGGCGCTTCTTTGTGTGGAGGGATTGGTGCTGGTGGGAATCAGACTTGTGAATATTTCCCAGCCAGCCCTCTACTCCCTCTGGGTATGGGTTTCTGTGAGTGTGTGAGGGTCAGCAGAGGCCCTTCCCCTGGCTCTACCTCCTGAGGTTGGGCTCTTTGGAGACCCCCCGCCCCCCATCCCAGCTTCCAGAGAGGAGGTGATGGCAACTCATGACGCTTTGTGACGTGAAGCTCACTGGTGAGACCCAGGCTGGGAAATGAAAGTCAAGTCAAAGTCTGAAACCTGAAAATCTCTCTGAGTACACATACTGCATAGCCTACGGGTAAACGGAGGAAGACCACAGCAGGTGGCTTGTACATTGTTACACGATCATGTGAAATGTGAAGTTTCCCAAAGAAAAAACACTAACTTCCGATATCAGTATGGCCCTGACTTTCAGTATTTTATTTTGGCTCAGTTCCCAGTATTCTGCTTACCCACACCCAAGCCATGGGATTCTAGAAAGTTCCGAATTGGTAGGAAGGAGTGGTTGAGAGATCTGAAGTTAAGGCAAGGGAAAGTTTTTATGTACCTTTCTAATGTCTGGAGCCTAACAGAGCCACTTTGTGAATTGTCACCACAGTCTGTGGCTTTGGCAAGTGGCTCCACAGACCTTTCCTTTGACACCCTGAGTTCCTCTTCTTTACTCTAATTCGACTCAAATGTCAGCCCAAGAAAGAATCATATTATATCCTTCCCCTGTATACATAGATAATTTATTTATTTAACAAATATTTATAGGGCATCTTAGCATGTGCCCAGCACTATCCTAGTTACTGGGGGTCTATCAATGAGCCAAAAAGACAAATATCCTCCCCCTCATGGCAATTACATTTTTCAGATAAAACAAAAGAAGCCAGTTCATTGTAAAGTACTGGGAGAGCAGTTTTATGGAGAATGATCAAGCAGGAAAAATAGTTGAGTGTTAAGGAGGATGTTCAGAGAATGATTTGCAGAGAGGAGGAACATGGAGGAGGAAATGACCAGGTTCAACAGCTAATGCCCATTATCTCATTCTTTTGTTACCATGTTCTTATGTCAGGGAGGTTGGAAAATAGACTGGGTGATGATGAGTTTAGAAATAATTTTACAGAAGTTGCAGAAATAGTCTTCATATGACATTGACTCTCAATAAAAAGATACATGATACGATGTGCCTGTTCTCAGTTTGCTGCTCTCAGATCCTTCATTGCCCCTTCATTGCCCTGTTTTGTGATCCTAGAGTTGAACCCTGTACACATTTCACCTTTGCCAGAAGACATGGAGGTTACAGAAAGAGGCAGGGACTTCTGGCTCTGGTGCCAGGACTTGGTTGCTGTTTGCTTCGTTTTGCTCTTTGGGAAAACCGGGCAGTGCCCTGTGGAGGGGCCCACCTCCAGTGAGTTTTGCTGACACTGCAGTAGGTAGCTTCTTATTGAGATTTGCTGGCACCCCAGAGGGTGTGTTAGATACCCAGGGGTACCCATCCTCTTGTGAGCTTTACCTTGATCCCAGTGGGGAGTCTCCTGCTCCGCAGCCACAAACTGCAGGACCTCGACAACTTCCCGGACAATCCAGTGGGTTGAAGTCCTACTGAAGCAGGAAGTTGCTAAGTCTGCTGCTTGGAGTCTGCTGCTTGCTGGAGCAGGAAGTTCCTGCACTGTGCTGCCTGCCCACAGTAGCAGATATGGCTACCTTGACCCCCTTCCCAAGCAATAAAGAAAGTCTATGATGGATGGGGTAACAAGCTTCCACATAGAAATGGTGTAAAACCTTGCCATTCCTGCAATTCCGGGCTCAAGCTTTTGGGAGCTATCCCACCGAGCCCCCGTCCCCAGTGTGACAATTAAATCTCTCTCTCTCTGTCTCTCTGTCTCTGTCTGTCTCTGTCTCTGTCTCTGTCTCTCTCTCTCTCTCTCTCTCTCTCTCTCTCTCTCTCCCACACACACACACACACCTCTCTGAGTTCTCTCTGATTTCTCTGGGAAAGTTGCCCTAACAATACCCCTCTAACAAGGCCTGACTCTCACCTTGGGAGGGAAGGCAGCTTCTTGGGTGCTCAGCTTCAGCCTAGAGCAGAGGCTGCTCCCCAAACCTGCTGTCCCTCTATTCTTTAGGGTTCTCCCCACTGCTTTGGGTTGTTACTCCTCTTTTAGTAGTAAACTATTCTTTCTAGTAGATGTTCTTTGTTCAAATTACTGGTGCGACTTCTGTCTCTTGGCTGGTTGCTGATTGATAGATCCAACATTAAATTTAGTTCAATCAACACATGGCAGATGCAAGGATGTTGAGTGCTGACCTGATATTTTCCAGAGGCCTGACTTGGTATTGAGAAATGGATACTTGAAAATTTACCATGATGATAATTAATTCTGTCTTTCAAGATGAATTTCCCAATACCAGTGCGTTCAGATTATCTGTAATTTTTATTAGCAAATATTATAGAAAATTTAGGAAGAACAGAAAAATATTCTATGATAATGATCTTCCTAAATAAAAGCTATTCATAAATAAAAACCCTAAAGTCAACAACAGTAAACACCACTTCCTCCAGGGTTGCTCAAGCTGAAATAGTCAGTGCAGAGTTTCGAAACCCTTATGAAATCAAAGAAAACATCAACATGGATACTCTAGAAAACATGGCCGAATGAAGCAGGATCAGGGACTCTCCCTCCTTCAATACCTTATAAAATGACCCAAAAATAATTTCAGTAAAAGTTCTAAAAATCTGCCAGTAGCAAATGAACAAGAAGTTGGGTACAATCTTTACCAAAACTTTGAAACGTGATTCATTAGAGTGGTCTAAAACTAACCCTACTGCAGATAAAGTGCTGAAGGAAAAAGGGAAATCAGTAAATCCTGAGAGCTATCCTAGTTAGGAAGCAAGGGGGCTCAGAAGAAAGGGAAACACTCACTGAGTAAAGCCCTTCTATTCCAGAAGGGTTTCTAGGACTTTCCACATTCTGGGAGAAGGTGCTGCATTAGGGCAAGAAGACAAATTCCGCAAGAGTGGCATCTCCCTGGTGGCCAGTGAGTTCTGGTAATGTATTTTGGTCTTATGAGGACTTTAGTTCTTTATAAAAATAACTTCAATCAAACCATATTTAATCAAATCTTTCAGGGTCCTAATCCTCGGGCTGTAGGTCTGCTGGCCATCACTCTTGGCGACCCACCTGTGTGTGTTTTGTGGTCTCCATGTGAGCTCTTATTTATTGGGGATTATTTTCTCTGTGATAACTTTCGTGGTCTGTGGTCCAGAGGAGTTTTGCACTTTTTTAGGCAGGAGCACTAAGGATGTCAATGGTCTGAGATCATTTTTCCTGGCTTGGTTTTGGGATGTCCTGTTTTGAGGGTATTATAAAATTGAAATTTAGGTTTGCATAAAGTGCAGGTTTGGGGGTCTCAGAGATTGCCCCCTTACCAGTTAGATCTTAGACAAAAACAGATAAGCTTCCTGAGCCTTCATCCCCAGCAGCGGGAATGATGGCCTCTCCTGGCTAGCACCAAGCACCTGTGGTTTCCCTACACTCCATCCAAATCTTTGTAAAGAACGCCCTTATTCAACTTTCTTGAGTTGCCCAACTTGACGGGACCAGCTCTCTCTGGCCAATGACACATGTCCCCAGTGGCAGGAATTTTGCCAAGCCAGGGAGGAAATGGTGAGCATTGTTCTCTGCCCTCAAGCATTGCCATTCCAGGGGAGGGTCAGGGCTGCACAGACTTGTCCAGGGAGGCACATGCTGTGCTGGGGGAAGCCCACAGAGCTACGGGCGGTCAGAGGGACCGGGGAGGTTTCTGAGGGTGTGTGTCCTCCAAGCCGAAAGCTAAAGCGGGGTTTAGCCAGCCAGGAGTGTGAAGGCCTCTTCTCTCTGCCCTGTTCCTCCTAATGTCTTTTTTTCTTTTAGGTTTTTGGGAGACCATTTGCCTGTATCTAAAAGAGGGGACAAT